ACCTTCTCGTTCGATCCTAAACCTCTCGCCAAACCCACAGAATCCCCATCGAGGAGAGGCCAGTAGGCCACCCGGGTCGGTCTCCAGAACGACCCAGGCATCTGCCAGGTTGTAGGTAAAGGAGCAGTGGAATGTCACAAGAGGGCTATGCCAACCCCATCACGAACGACAGACCTGGATTCCACTTGATCATACTCGTTAGCGAACTCACCGAGCGCGTCACTCGAGCCCGAGTGATCGAGGCAAGCGACAAAACTCAGCCCCTCCGGTTGTGAGAAACCGAGGACGGGGGTAACGCACAAAACTCAAAACCGACCCCTGCCAAAGGCCAACGGGGCTCAGGGGCTCAAGACACCTAAACTAACAACCTCGGCTGCGTAGGCTGCACCGAGGCTAGGATTCACGAGCTCCGACTCGCCCGATCCCTAAACTAACTTCCTCGGCTGCACGGGCTACACCGAGGCTAGGACCCACGACTCCGACTCACTAATCCCACGGCGCGCACCGACGCCAGGACCCACCAGCTTCGACTCGTCTGATCCCTAAAACTATCTGCCTCAGCTACGTGGGCTGCACCGAGGTCAGGATCCATGACTCTGACTCTCCTGATCCCATGGCGCGCACCGACGCCAGGACCCGCGAGCTCCGACTCGCCCGATCCAATGGCATGCACCGACGCCAGGATCCATGACTCTGACTCGCCTGATCGCACGGCGCGCACCGACGCCAGGACCCGCGAGCTTCGACTCGACCGATCCCTAAAACTAACTGCCTCAGCTGCGCGGGCTGCACCGTGGTCAGGATCCATGACTCTGACTCGCACGATCCCACGGCGCGCACCGATGCCAGGACCCGCGAGCTCCGTCTTGACCGATCCCTAAAACAAACTACCTCGGCTGCGCGGGCTGCACCGAGGTCAGGATCCACGACTTCGACTCGCCCAATCCCACGACGCGCACCAACGCCAGGACCCGCGAGCTCCGTCTCATCCGATCCCTAAACTAACTACCTTGGCTGTGCGGGCTGCACCGAGGCCAGGATCCACGACTCCGACTCACCCGATCCCACGGCGTGCACTGACGCCAGGACCGGCGAGCTTTGACTCGTCCGATCCCTAAAACTAACTGCCTCGGCTGCGCGGGCCGCATCGAGGTCAGGATCCACGACTCTAACTCGCCCGATCCCACGGCGCACACTGACACTAGGACCCGCGAGCTCCTTCTCAACCGATCCCTAAAACTAACTGCCTCGGTTGCATGGGTTGCACCGAGGTCAAGATCCATGACTCCGACTCACCCGATCCCACGGCGCGCACCGACGCCAGGACCCACGAGCTCTGTCTCGACCGATCCCTAAACTAACTGCCTCGGCTACGCGGGCTGCACCGAGGCCAAGATCCATGACTCTGACTCACCCGATCCCACGGCGCACCGACGCCAGGACCCACGAGCTCCGTCTCGTCCGATCCCTAAACTAACTGCCTCGGCTACGTGGGCTACACCGAGGCTAGGATCCATGACTCTAACTCGCCCAATCCCACGGCGTGCACCGACGCCAGGATCCACGAGCTCCACTTCGCTCGATCCCAAAACTAACCACCGACTCTGTCTCAACTAAAATACACATGCACACACCCGCTAAACAAAACCCCCTGGATGATTCTACCCGAATCGCCCGGGGGCTCGGGGGCTACACCCGCGGGTGCGCTCGCGCGCACCCGCTGACAAAATGAAAACTTCCCCCGCAGGCAACACGAAAACCCCCCAGACGATTCTGCCCGAATCTCCCGGGGGCTCGGGGGCTACACCCGCGGTTGTGCTCGCACGCAGCCGTCGTCAAGACAAAAACCCCTAGACAATTCTACCCGAATCACCCGGGGGCTTGGGGGCTCCTGTCGGGTTCATAAACCCAGGGTCCCTCGTGGACCGACTTCCCAACAAAAACTTGGCCCAACAGACAACGTTGCCAGCAACACGTAACTCATGGGCCAGCCCCAAATACCTAGACAACAGGCCGGAAGGACAATCCAATCTCCGACCGGAAGGCCTGGCCGAGGAGTAACGGCACCCGCTTTTGACTCCGGCCCACCTCTTCGATCAGAGCGCTCACTTCGGTCTCCAGCCCGCCTCCAGACAGGTCTCTCTAACCGGAAGGCCTAGCCGAGGAGGAACGGTGCTCGCTTCTAACTCTGGCCCACCTATCCTACCGGAGCACTCGCTTTGGTCTCCAGCCCGCCTCCGGACGGTCTCTCCGACTGTAAGGCCTAGCCAAAATGCCACTTCCAACGCCGGACCCCTGCCTACGGCTCCTCTCCGACTGGCGCAATCAAAGCCAACTGGGACCAACCGACCGAGGACGCCCGCTCGGTAAGGACCAGGAAACAGACGGAGAAAGTAAGGCAACACACTCAGGTCAACCGTAACACCGAGGACCGTACCCTGTACACCTGTAGGACAGTACCCTGCGACCTCCCTAACATGATAGAACACAAGCTGTGTTATAGGCGCCGATATTTTCCCTACAGTGTTGTGGGCACCATTGACTCCCATACCTGCCAAAAACAGTAAGGCTCCCCCACATGCCTCTGAGGCATTGATAGTGTTATGGACGCCGACATTTACCATGCCAGGCGAACATGGTAAAAACCCCTGCATGCCTCTCAGTAACAACAGTATAGCAGGTACCGACATCTGCCATACCTGAAGAAGATGACGCAACCTCCCATGTGCATCTGACATTCAATAGTATTGTGGGCGCCTACCATCGGCTTGTACCCGCTGGCGTGGGTAGCAAGACTTAGCAACGAACGTACTCCCTCCCTCTCGCTTGTAAAGCCATCCCCTTCATCTATAAAAGGGGATGCGCTCTCTTCCAATAGATAGGTTATTTCAGATCGATCAAGTTCACTAGTACACAACAGCAGAACCACCAGGTTCAAACCACGAGCACACGCTCGATCACTTAGCATATAGCGGAGCTCCCATCGCTCTTGGTCCCTCTGACCAAGAGTTCGACCGGACCTCTTGTACCCCCCATCTTCCTCTTTCTCGTTTGTAACCCCACTGCAAACTTCAAGCACCTAGGCTCAGGAATAAAGTCACCGACCGACTCAAACTAGACGTAGGCCACGTTGCCTGAACCAATATAAACCCTGTGTCATTGAGTGCTAGGCCACCTCCGATCACAACGTATGACAAAACTACAAATATTTACGTGTTGGTCACTTTCTGCACCGACAGTTGGCGCCGTCCGTGGGGAAGACGCTGTACGTTCAACAGTTTTGGTCATCGTATGGCCCACTTTTCCGCCACCTTCGCAATGGCGGGCTCAAGCGATACAACTTGCTTCGGCTCATTGGAGTTTCCCGCACTCCCACCTGTTGGGATGTGGGTTCCACCCATCTCCGAGCCGTCCTAGGCCTTCCTCTTTGGAAACCTAGACTTCGTCGCCGACTAGCTCGGCGTACTACACCTCCATGAGGAGGCACTCGTTCTGGCGTCCGTTGGAGGGGCACCCTCCATCAGCTCTGGGACGCACGACGACTTTAACGACGAGGCGCCTATGCTTCATTCCGAGCAAACTCTTTGCTCAAACCCCGCTGGGAGTAATGTACATGCTGTTATTTACTCGCTATTCTCTATATTCCGCCGATTATCCGGAGGGACCTCGTTGTCCCTACCGCGACCGCCTTGCGACCGGTTCCCCTACTGTCTCGCGTCCCCCACGGATGTGTACGCCCGGGGGCTCCAAAGGATGCCGGCGCCACCCCCTCTCACGTCTAAATTAGTGGGGATGGTGAGCTATGGTCCCACCTGTTTTCTCGACCTCATGGATGACAATGTTGTGCGCTATGACTGATGCTCTGGGACAGCCACCGGTGGTAACGGAGTCCTTGTAGACTCACCCCTCTGGACCCTCGTGCATAGACCCCCACGCTCACATGGGAGCACGGTGAGGAGCTACGACAACAGCGGCTGAACCAGCCACCGACTGCGCCAGCGCGCTCGACGCACCACACTGCGCCCCATGCGCATAAACCGGCGAGCGGTGCCTGGGGTCGCACCCGTCGGGTCCAGCGCAACACCATGGACGGGGGGGGGGGACGATCCCCCACAGTTCGCTCAGGCCAATCAGAACATCACTGCTGCGGCAATGCTTCTGCGCGGCCTTCCCGAGCCGAACAGCCCCTAGGAACAGGCAATCCACCGGAACCTCCGGGCACTGGTGGAGACCACCACCATTCAATAGGTGGAGAGCTCCGCATCGTGACACCGACTCGCGGCCTCACTCCCCACTAGGGGAGTGGGGACGCACCAGACGAATCACTCCACCTACTCACCGCTACAGCCTCCGAGCGCGGCATAGGAGGCCGCATCTACGCCTCGTCTTGACTTGGCGATCGCTCCGCACCGACCGCCTGTACACGAGCGGCTCGGGCTGAACCAGGACACTCGTAGCTTCATCAGCAATCGGAGTCCCAACCCGGATGGCCCGAGACCACGGGCCTTTGTCCGACGCATCCAGAGAGCGCCGCTCCTGCAGTGCTCCAACGAAGGCCGAGGCAAAGGCAAGGCGAAGTGCCAGGATTAGGATGAGGGCCCCACCATGCGGAGCTCCTGTCGCTCTCGGTCCCTCTAACCAAGAGTCCTATCGAACCTCTTGTACCCCCATCTTCCTCCTTCTCGTTTGTAACCTCATTGCAAACTTTGAGCACCTGGGCTCAGGAATAAAGTCACTGACTGACTCAAACTGGACGTAGGGCACGTTGCCTGATCCAGTATAAACTCTGTGTCATTGAGTGCTAGGCCACCTCCAATCACAATGTATGGCAAAACTACAAATATTTAGGTGTTGGTCACTTTCTACACCGACACCGATTCTATCGATTCTTCTTCCTAAATTTATCTAAAATCAATATCTATCTTCCATATAAATTTCATGATTTTAGAGCTCATTTGAGTAAATGCTAGTATTTGATTGTGTTTGTTTGTGTGTTCTAGCTGACGGAGGGAACGAGCCAGAGAACGAGGACGTCGGAGATGAGTACCGTGAGTTCGACGTCGAGGACCCGAATTGCCAGCAGGAGTTTCTCGAGGATGTCGATGGAGGCAAGTCCAATCTAATCCCCTTTGATGCATGTTGATCCAATTTTTGAACACAACCCATAGAAGCTGTTTTAAATATTGCATGTATGATTATATGTACGAGGTATTTTATGCTTAGCTAAAACCTGTTTGAATAGCCATCCTTGGACTGATATTACCTGATAAATGTCTTGTTCAAACCTCATAATAAATATTATGCTATGATGAAATATAATTGTTTAGCAATGCTTTGGACTTGGTACCCATCGTGGATACTCATCACTATGGCCCTGTTCGCTTCTCTTATAATTCATCTTTTTCACCTTGTTTTTTTAGCCGGAATATTGTTTTTTCTCTCACAACAAATCAGCCGGAACAGTGTTTTGGCTTATTTTTTCAGCGAAGCGAACGGGGCATATGATTTTTCAAATGCAATGATTTTAAACAAAACTGTGTGAGTGGTGAGGTTAAATTGTGGGTATTGTGAAAGGGTTAATGAACAAGTTATAGATGATGATTACCCTAGAGATGGGGCGGATCAGATCACTTTTGTGGGATGCCGTGGTGTTGTGGCTTGTACCTTTTGTGGTTAAGCGTGAAGATATTCGCCTTGTCTCGATTAAGGACTGAGTTGATGATTCATCTCACCTAACTCATTTTATCATACAACCACTTGACCTTGTACGTGGCAAGGCTTAGTCTAAATTGCCCTAGTTGGTATGGCAATGACCTAGAGGTAGGTGTGCAATGGAACACTAAGAGATGTATGTGGAAACTAAGGAATTGTATGAAATGTAATGAGCTCTGTAAATTATTGTATTATGAGATGTTGCCTTAGTGTGCCTGTGGTAAGCGCTAGTACCCAGCTATGGAGGTTAATGGCTCTGATGGATCTGTGCTTGCATGACGGTGTCAAGTTACGGTATCCTACTTGTGGTGAAAGTGTACAACCTCTGTAGAGTGTAAAATTTATCTGGATAGCTGTGTTCACGGTCTCGGATGGGTTATGGTTTGGTTTCAACAACTAGATGGGTTTGGATGAGTGAAAACATGAGCGTGTGTGTGATTTTGGAAATGAATGGTTACCAGCCATGTGTTGTGGGAATAGAGTGTTCAACAACACTTAAAATTGTGACAAACCCTCTTTTCATAATTACTCTTATATATACGGAAAAGAGATGACTTTTGCAAATGTATTTATGAAATGAAACCCTACATGTGTCTAAAGATAGCTTTATGCAAATAAAACCAAGCCTTATCCTTGATATATCTATATGCATGTACTGTTATCCCCTTCCATAGGGTAAGGTTGGACTTGCTGAGTACTTTGTACTCACCCTTGCTTTGTTGAACATAGAAAGATCCAGACTTCAATCCCAAAGTTGCGTTCGAGTAAGGTCGTGTCTGCACCCAACTAAGCCTATGGCATTGGGATCCATCAGATGTTTGACTGCGATTCCTTTTGTTTCTAGGTCTTTTGGACCTATATTATGTTCTGGTTACTTCTAATTGTGGCATGTCTTCATTGCCCACGCTTGTTGAGACTACTGGACTGAGACTTATCTGATGTAATAAATTTGTTACTAGCCTCCTGGGACTAGTATTGTATCACATTTGAGTTCCTGGATGACCAGGGATGCTTCATCTGTGAACTCAAAAGGTGTATGCTTAGCTAGAAGGTTTGTGAGGGGTCTAGAGATTTGTGAAAAATCTTTGATAAACCGCCTATAGAACCCTACATGATCTACGAAGCTGCGGATTCCTTTCATGTTCACAGGGAGTGGTAGTTGCTCGATGGCGTCAATTTTAGTTTTATCTACCTCAATCCTCCTCTCGGACACCAGGTGCCTAAGAATGATGCCCTCACGGACCATGAAATGGCACTTCTCCCTGTTAAGTACCAAGTCCTCTTGGCATCGTTGCAAGACATTGTCTAAATTCTCCAGACAGCGGTAAAAGGTTTTGCCATAGACTGAAAAATTGTCCATGAAAATCTCCACGATTTCTTCTATCATGTCAGAGAATATGGACACCATGTAGCGTTGGAACGAAGCGGGTGCATTGCACAATCCAAAAGACATACGTCGATATGCGTATGTTCCATACGGATATGTGAAGGTCGTCTTGCTTTGATTATCGGGGTGGATGGAAATCTGATGATACCCCGAATACCCATTGAGGAAACAGAAAAAAGAATGCTTTGTCAATTGCTCTAACATTTCATCAATGAAAGGCAATGGGAAGTGGTCTTTCTTTGTTGCCGTGTTGAGTTTTTGGTAATCAATACACATTCTCCATCCCGTGACGGTTCGTTGTGGGATCAACTCATTTTTATTGTTTTCAACGACCGTCATTCCTTCTTTCTTCAGAACCACTTGGATGGGACTAACCCAGTCACTATGTGGTACGGGATAAATAATCCTAGCATGAAGGAGTTTGAGGACTTCCATCTTCATGACTTCCCTCATCGCATTATTGAGCCTACGCTGAGAATCTCTAGATGGTGTACTCGAAGGATCGATTAGAATGCGATGGGTACAAAGAGTTGGGCTAACCCCCTTAAAATTTTGCAGGGAATACCCAAGGACTGGCCTATGTTTCTCTAAGTCAGCAATGAGTTTGGCTGTCTCCTCATCAGTAAGCTTGTTGCTTATGATTACAGGAGTTTCTTTATTGCCATTCAAGAAAGCGTAACATAGTCCAGCGGGTAAGGGTTTTAGCTCAACTGGAGGTCATGCCGGTGCTTCCTCTTGGGGAAGATCAATAGTTTCTCCTAAGTCATCCTCTTCTTCTATGAAGAGTTTTGCATCCTTTTCTAAGGATGACTCAGGAGAATCAAAGGGTAAGACCAACATAACTTCCTTGGGTAGGTTAGGATAAGGGAGAAATTCTGCCCTCAAGTTTTTAGCTCGAGTGATAGAAATGAAAAAAGTGTCTCTCCCCAACTTTACGTCCAAGTCCTCTGTTTTTGGTGGGTTTATAAAAAGTTTTTCTAGGGGATGCCCTATCAAGATGTTAAAATCTGACATGTCAAAGACATGGAAATCGAGGGCCATTTCGACATTGCCGTGATGGAGTGTTATGTTGTGTAGAATACCAAGTCCTTTTAGGCTAGAATGTGAGGTGACTATAAAGGACCTGACTGTTGGAGCACAGGGTTTTATGAACAAACAAGAAAGTGCGAAGGATTTTGACATGAGGTTTGCTCCTACAGTTGGATTATACAACATATCCACCCAGTTCCCTTGGATTTTACATCGAATAGGGAGGGAGGGGCCGCAAATCTGAATTTCTTCAGAAGAAAGCTCTCCCTTGTCTACCCATTCGCTACTCATGATAGCGGTCAACTCCTTGATGGATTCCCTAAGGAATTCTTCGTCTAGCGGATCACAAGGAGTGATAGAAACTGGTGGTCTCTTCTAGCATGAGTATTTCGAGGTGTCTCCAAAATCATCGTAGAAGTCATCCTCAAAATACGGAAGATTTGAAGGTTGGAAACCTTCCTCCAGATTTTCTGGTTCGGGCGAGGATCTCTCTAAGGGTGCTAAATGTTTGGCCTCAGCCGAACAGACTTCCTCATGGCTTGGCTTAGGCTCTACACGGAGGGGTTCTAATGGAGGAGTGTTCTCTACAATGTGGTCTAGGAGAGCTTCTCCTTCCGCCATGGTTTTGTGAGTGAAAGAACCTCCAGCAGGTATATCAAGCTGAAGGGCAGACTCCTTGCTAAGTCGTAGCCAAAAATGTTATAACAGCACATGGCTTGGTATAGATAATTCTAGGCCAGATCTTGTTAAAATTGAGAATCTATCCCAGGCTGCTCCTTTGGTTTCCTTCTTTTTTTGTTGGAAGTTGAGGATCTCTTGTCATAGGGCAGCGATTCGAGATATAGGGAAGAACGCGAGACATAATCTGTTCCTTAGTTCTTCCCAATCGCTAGCTACCTTCCCTATGTTGTGGGCGTACCATTGTTTCGTCCTCTCATCAAGTGAGAAGGGAAACAACTTCTAGCATAGTGTTTCTTGTGACATGCCCGAAATGGTCAGGCAAGCACAGAGTTGCTCAAACTCCCTTAGGTGGTGGTAAGGGTTTTCCTAATCTAACCCTAAGAAGGTTTGTTCCCGAACCATGGTATAAAGCTAGGGCAGAGTTCGTAACTAGAAGCTGTGATTGGCTTTGATGATTGTGGTGGTTCAACAAACTCGCCTTTGGGAGCAGAAAGGTTTCGAATGGTAGGTTGCTCCATTGAAAAAGAGTAAAAAGAAAGGAAAGGTGAAAACAAAGGGTACACAGATGAACTAGGTTCAAAGACTAAAACGACAACCGCACAATGTTTGTTGGTGCTTCTTAGCGTAAGCAAAAAAGTCTGCAAGCGCATGGAAGTACTGTTGTAGCACTTCACCCGGTGGTATTCAGGGTATCGTATTTCCACGAGAAACGGAGATGTAAGTAGTCTCTTAACTAGATCTCCTAGAAAGATAAGTTGAAGAGTAGCTCGGGTAGTAAGGTTCTTCTATGGACAGAAACCTTAAGCGAAGTTAGCTTTGCCACTACAAACTCACTTTGGGCACCGGATCACATTTGGTCTACCAAGTGATGTCGGACTGCAGCTCTACGCCGAACCCGAGCGTGGGGGATTACAAAGGATGGACATGGCTGTCACCACCTGCCGCCTACCCCTCAACCGTGGGGAACAAGACAAACAAAGGTAACTTCTAGCTTAGACACCACGTCTATGCTTTCGGTTATGTAACATGCTAAAATTAGCTACTTTCTAAAAAGAGTAAAATGATGTCTGTTAATTGTTTTGTGCTCATAAAGACATATCTTCAAATTAAAATCCAACATAATGGTAGCAACATGTTTGCGCATATATCCCGTTGCATTGGTACTTTTGTGATGAGTGGTTTGAAAAATAAATTCAAATCTCAATCTTCAAAATATTTATTTTCAAGTAGTGGTTTAAAAAGAATTTAAAAACTTGCAAAAACAAAAGTGAGATAAGATGCTTTATTTTCAAAATCCAAAGGCTTGGAAAAGGTTTTAAGATGCGTTAGAATGA